GAATTTAAAGATTCAGTCATGAATCATGAGTCATTTTCAAATTTCCTTAATACTATTTAACTTAATTAGATAGTTTTTAAATTAATTGTCATAACTTTTCTAGATGTTTAATCTTGAACCCTTAAGTAGATTTCAAATTTCAGTTTAATAATCGTACTTTATGCTTAATTTATATCGAAATAAATTTTCCTTTGCCGAATTAGAAATATAATAAGACAATAGAGAATTTAAATAATTACATCAAAACATAACAATTGTTAACGTAAAATTGAATGGACCTGGATGGTCCACATAAGGATAGAAATGATTGGCATATAACCTACATTGAAAACCGGAATTTCACGTTCTGAATTTACTTAAGAAGAGGATTTCCCATAAGATGTTGAAGAATCCGAGATTGTTGGAAATGGTTGCAGCTGCAACTGGTTATTCGTACCAATTCATACCAGTTTGACCAAGCTTTCACGAAGAGATCCACTTTTGTATACTAGTTCTATTGAATAACCAAAAAAAGAAAAGGAAAGGCCATTCCCTGTAATTAAGAAGAAAGTCTGATGGAATTGGCAAATCGAGCCCAATAACAGCTGCTTTTAACCAAGCCATTTGTCGCGTTCAACGATTACGGGAAATTGTTATTTCAATTTTTATGACGCCAAGTATAAACGATGATTCTTCTTATTGTCGCCAAGTATAAACGATGACTTTTTATTGTACGTGGCAATAAAATGCTGCGTGAACGAGCTGCGTTTGGCCAAATCCCGAGTTTTCATCGTTTCTCATCATCGTTTCTCGAGCCCGGTTAACACGTAGCAAACCGCAGAAGCATCGGATCCAGGTCGTGACATCGAAAACTGCATTTCGATCGGCTGTTGCCTCTGTTCTCTGATGACCCGGAAACCACTGCCTAGACTTCAGACCGAACATCTACTTTTCCGCCACAATAATCAAAATCGTCATTATGCTTGTGACAGACGATCTCTTTAGGGAGATTATTTTCTTTTATTGAAATTAGTAAAAATTATATTCAATTCTGTAAAATTATATTTGGAATTTTTATTTCATTTATTTAAAATACTTAATTAATTATGTAGATATTAGAATTAAAATTTAGAAATATTTCTTTCTTGAGAATAAAGATTTTAAAAATTTTTAAAACCTTGTGAAAGTTAGCTGTAAGGGATGCGTTTCTCTGACCTTAGTTCTACTGCTAGGATCAATAAATGTACAAAAGTAATATGAGGGACACATCCCCGGGATCCAGTACCGTTAAGCCCCTAAAGTAATTGCAAGAATTACTTTATACGACTGACTTTGTAATTAACGCTTCACTTTCTCAATCAAATGATCGGGACGAACACAGAAAGAATCGGCAATATACAAGGTCCAACTTCAACGTGCTGCGACAGTAAAATAGTACAACATTCAGAATAAAATAGTATGTGACAAAGACGTGACCACTCTTACCATGGATTCTCAAATTAGCATTTTATAAAAATACAAACTCAGAATTTTAGAGAAATTTGGATTCTAAACTTTACTAATTTAGAATGTTTAATTTTATAGAAATTTTAGATTACATTTTGGAATTTGCGATTTACAATTAAATATTCTAAATATTAATGCAATTCCACATGCATTAAAATGTTTAAAATATTTAATTTTTTAGGAATAAAAATTTAAAATTTTCCAATCTTATAAAAAATCAAAATTTAGAATTTTGTAAAAGTATGAATTTCTTTGACAATCCAAATACTGAA